CAAAGGAGGAGGCTACAATGCTTGATAAGAAATGTACTCATTATCTTGCCCATGTAATTGTAACCCCTCTGTACAGTATTTTCACAATAAAAAAAAAAGAAAGAAAGTTCTGGGTGAGGAAATTCAGGCCAACATATATCACAGGTTTCTCATCCTTTGGTTCATTTAAAAATGTTGCTATATCCCAAGTGTCTCAGATGATACCTAGTGCCTCATCTACAACTCTTCATTTATAGCTATAGTTCCCAGCATCCTCCAAATACCAGACTGGAATGTGCATTCCACTGCCTACTGAGGTCATGTGAGATTCTGATTGGCATCTTAAACCTAATATACTACTACCCAATAACTTGTTCTCCCAAGACTTTCTCATATCATTATATTACACATCCCATGCTCCACAATCCTTGTTATTGATGTCTGAAGAGCAAGCTTATAAATGTCTTTTCTTCCCCTTTATTCCTTATTCCTCTTATCCAGTCCTCTAGTAAGTCTTGCCTACATTACTTACAGAATAAGACTCTCCTAAGTCAACTTCTATCATATTTCTAGAGTACTGTGGAACATACAAAAAAGAGAAGCTTTGGAAAAGCATCATAATTGTTTCCTAGTTCCTTCATAGTTGTGGAATTTTTCCTTTCTGAATAAAGAATGGGCTTTTCTAAATGGGCATATGGAATCTCAAAGGAAAGAGCTGTGAGCATTTTTATAAGCCTTCTGAAGAACATAATTAAATATGCCCAACTCTTGGTATCTTTAACCTGGAAAATACCATTTAATTAGTCATATATCTATTAGGGGTCATTATTATCTCCCCACCAAACTCTTCCTGCTCTTAAAAAAATCCACGGTATACTCCTTGTATCTAAGGATTGGTCTATCCTGGACATTCTGTATAAACAGCAATCATGTAAGATACATTTTTTTCCTAGCAAATCTCTTCTATTTTAGCACAGTATTTTCAAGCATTACCCATGTTGTTGTTTATATGATTATGTTGTTTATATGAATATGACAATGTATAATTCCTAAGAGAAGCAAAATCATAGTTCTTGAAAAGGGTGGGGTAGGGCCAAGGACGGGGTAGTTGAATAAAGTGGGAGGGGGAGAGAGAATGCAGTCAGAATTTAAAATTCTGAGAGGGATGAGTGAGGATGTTGAAAGGGGTGACACTGATCAATTCTCATTGTATTAATAACCTGCTTTATTGAATGATAACTCCTTTGTAAAGCCGCTTAAAGGCAATAAAAATATTTAAAAGGCAACTGAAAGTTCATCTTCTTTTTAATTGGCCAAACTTTATGGTATGTCAAATTGTATTGCATTATAAAACATGTTGTTTTGAGATTTGTATACATTATGACTGAATCAAGTTTGTTAATGCATGTAGTATTCCACATACTTGTTTTGTTTCTGTTGAGAACACTTAAAATCTACTTTCTCAGCAATTCTCAAGCATATAACACATTATTATTAGCATGTTATACAATAAAACTCCAGAACTTGTTTCTCCTGTCTTAGCAAGTCTATATTTTTTGGCCAATGTCTTCCTGATCTTCCGAATACCAGTAACCAAGCTCCCTTCTTGTACTCTACTTCAATGAATTCAATATTTTATGTTTCCCACATAAATGAGTTCATACAATTTTTGTCTTTCTGTTGTCAATATATTTCACTTAACATGATGTCCTCCAAATTTATCCAAGTGGTGGCAGCTAACAAGAGTTCCTTGTTTTTAAAAGGTGAGTAATACTTAATTTTATATATAGACCACAATTTCTTTTTTCATTGGTAGATTGACTTCATATCTTGGTTACTATGACTAATTACATTATTCTCTTTTTTAATGAAAGATACTTCAACAACAAAATAAATAAATTAAAAACATATTGAGGCTGGGTGCTGGTGGCTCATGCCTCTACACCTAGCTACTCAGAAGGCTGAGATCTGAGGATCGTGGTTCAAAGCCAGCTGGGGCATGAATGTCTATGAGACTCTTATCTCCAATTAATCATCAGAAAGCAGAAGTAGTGCTGTGGCTCAAGTGGTAGGGTGCTCACCTTGAGCTGAAGGGTTCAGCAACAGAGCCCAGGCCCACAGGTCAAGTCCCATGACTGACCAAACAACAACAACACACAAAACATACTGAGGACTAAAGGTATGGCTAAAATGGTAGAGCACCAGCTATAAGCATGAAATAGGATGTGAGTTCAATCCCCACTACAAGAGAAGGAAAGAAAGAGAAAGAAAGAATGAACAGAAAGAAAGAGAAAGGAAGAAAGAAAGAAAGAAATGAAAGAAGAAAAATGATATTGAATCAATATATAATTATTTAAATAGGATGAGTCTATGCTGTTGATCTTAGGTCATAAGCTTGATTATATAATCTGTCCAGGAAAGTAAAAATATTATAGAAACAAATAGACACATATGAGTGCAGGTAATGAGGGAGAAAGGGTGAGCAAATGTAGTTATTATATTTAATGTACATTATGTAAAACTTGAACTACAAAACTTGAGGGTGGGATGGGAGGGGAGAAAATGGAGGACAGCAAGGGAAAGGATGACATCCATCAAGATGCATTGTACTCATAACTTGATTTATGAAATTCTAACCTCTTTGTACAACTACTTATTAATAAAAAATTTTAAATGACAAGAGCTTCAACCCAAAAATTCTTCAGAGTTGAGCTTTTGGCTTTTTAAGGAAAGGACAGAATTCATATCTGTCTGCCAATAGGTTACAGAGATGGCTACTTTACATAAAGTAGAATGGTAGAATGTAGTGGGTCAAAAATAGCATGGACTTGGAATCAGAAAAATTGAGTGTGAGTTAAATATCCTGTCTATTCTTGAGACATAGCTTAAACTTGCTAAGCTTCTGTCCCCTTATTTAAACAAGTTAATGTATTTACATAATTGGGGTTCTTTAAGAAATAATGGAACTAAAGTTTGTGAATGATTAGCAAAGTATTATTAGTTTATATGTTTTTATTGAAAAAAATACTGTACAGAGGGTTTACAGTTACATGAGT